TGGGAAAAATGGGATTTGGGGTGGGAAAAATGGGATTTGGGATGGGAAAAATGGGATTTGGGATGGGAAAAATGGGATTTGGGGTGGGAAAAATGGGATTTGGGATTTGGGATGGGAAAATGGGATTTGGGGTGGGAAAAATGGCACCAGTTTTTCCTGGGATTTTTTGGGATTCCTTTGGAATTCCCAATGCCAGGAAAACATTCCACGATTCCCACCCCTGAGAGCTTCACCAGGTGGAGTTTGGGTCAGTTTTGGGATAATTTTGGGTCAATTCCATTGGGTTTTGCTCCATTTTGGGTCAATTTTGGGCCAATTTTCCTGATTTTTGTGTCAATTTTCCCAATTTTCATGGAAATATTTTGGGATTCCTTTGGAATTCCCAATCCCAGGAAAACATTCCACGATTTCAATCCCTGAGGGTTTTCCCAGGTGGATTTTGGGTCGATTTTGGGTCGATTTGGTGCCGATTTCGCTCCATTTTGGGCCGTTTTGGGCCAATTTTCCCGACTTTCGTGTCAATTTTCCCAATTTTTCCTTGAATTTTTTCGGGATTCCTCTGGAATTCCCAATGCCAGGAAAACATTCCACGATTCCCACCCCTGAGAGCTTCACCAGGTGCATTTTGGGTCAATTTTGGGTCAATTTTGGGTCAATTCCATTGGGTTTTGCTCCATTTTGGGTCAATTTTGGGTCAATTTCCCTGATTTTCGTGTCAATTTTTCCAATTTTTCCTGGGATTTTTTGGGATTCCATTGGAATTCCCAATCCCAGGAAATCATTCCACGATTCCCATCCCTGAGAGCTTCACCAGGTGGAGTTTGGGTCAATTTTGGGCCAATTTTCCCAATTTTCATGGAAATTTTTTGGGATCCCTTTGGAATTCCCAATCCCAGGAAATCATTCCACGATTCCCATCCCTGAGGTCTTCACCAGGTGGAGTTTGGGTCAATTTTGGGCCAATTTTCCCAATTTTCATGGAAATTTTTTGGGATCCCTTTGGAATTCCCAATCCCAGGAAAACATTCCACGATTTCAATCCTTGAGGGTTTTCCCAGGTGGATTTTGGGTCAGTTCTGGGTCGATTTGGTGCCGATTTCGCTCCGTTTTGGGCCAATTTTCCCAATTTTTGTGTCAATTTTCCCAATTTTCATGGAAATTTTTTGGGATTCCTTTGGAATTCCCAATCCCAGGAAAACATTCCACGATTCCCACCCCTGAGACCTTCACCAGGTGGAGTTTGGGTCAATTTTGGGTCGATTTGGTGCCGATTTCGCTCCATTTTGGGCCGTTTTGGGCCAATTTTCCCGATTTTTGTGTCAATTTTCCCAATTTTTCCTTGAATTTTTTCGGGATTCCTTTGGAATTCCCAATCCCAGGAAAACATTCCACGATTCCCACCCCTGAGAGCTTCACCAGGTGGAGTTTGGGTCAATTTTGGGTCAATTTTGGGTCAATTCCATTTGGTTTTGCTCCATTTTGGGCCGTTTTGGGCCAATTTTCCCAATTTTTGTGTCAATTTTCCCAATTTTCATGGAAATTTTTTGGGATTCCTTTGGAATTCCCAATCCCAGGAAAACATTCCACGATTCCCATCCCTGAGAGCTTCACCAGGTGGAGTTTGGGTCAATTTTGGGTCAATTCCGTTGGGTTTTGAGCCAATTTTCATCATTTCTGGGCCGATTTTTGTCATTTCTGGGCTGATTTTCCCAATTTTTCCTGGGATTTTTTGGGATTCCTTTGGAATTCCCAATGCCAGGAAATCATTCCACGATTTCAATCCTTGAGGGTTTTCCCAGGTGGATTTTGGGTCAATTTTGGGTCAATTTTGGGTCAATCTTGGGTCAATTCCATTGGGTTTTGCTCCATTTTGGGTCAATTTTGGGTCAATTTTCCTGATTTTCGAGGTGATTGTCCCAATTTTTCCTGGGATTTTTTGGGATTCCTTTGGAATTCCCAATGCCAGGAAAACATTCCACGATTCCCACCCCTGAGAGCTTCACCAGGTGGAGTTTGGGTCAATTTTGGGTCGATTTTGGGTCAATTTCGCTCCACTTTGAGTCAATTTCGTGCCGTTTTTCCTCATTCCCGCACCGTTTTCCGCGGCGATTTTTCCCGTTTTTCCCATTTTTCCCGGGAATTTTTTTTCCCCCTCCCCCCCACATCTGGAATTCCAGGCAAGCACTACGGCGTCTCCAGCTGCGAGGGCTGCAAGGGCTTCTTCAAGCGGACGATCCGCAAGGACCTGACCTACACCTGCCGCGACAACCGCGAGTGCGTGGTGGACAAGCGGCAGCGCAACCGCTGCCAGTACTGCCGCTACCAGAAGTGCCTGGCCACCGGCATGAAACGGGAGGGTGAGGCACTGGGAGGGACTGGGAGGGACTGGGATGGACTGGGATAAACTGGGAGGGGGTTTGGGGGAAAAAATCCAGCGAAAATTGGGGGAAAAATGGAGTTTTTAGAGGGAAAATGGGGAAGAAATGGGGATTTTGGGTGGACTGGGA